TTTTGCGTTATTGAAAAAAAAAAAAAAAAGAGCCCAAATTACTATTAGCCACTTTCACGGGGTGTGAGAAATGGAAACGAAGGATTATACTTATCCAAAAGCATTGTTTTTTTCAGTATAAAATTTTCTCCTGGAGACTTAATAAGAAAATTGTATCTTGCTTGTGTTTGCATACTTTCTCCAAGAAAATTACATACAAATATTAGATTTAATTGGTGGTGGAAAATGAGGAAAGAAAATAGTAAAGCAAGGAGTCTAAACTTGTTAGAATAACTTCTCCAAAACTGGGAAAAAGCCATTTTTCATGCCTTGCTTAGATCTCCATGGTCGGTAAGAAGTGGACAATTTAGATAATTACTGTAGGTAGAAAATACAAACAGTCTCTATAGATAATTCTAGAAGAAACTTTTTTTTTCAGAACGTCACAAATCAAAAAAATAATTCCCTTAATTTTTTGCTTTTACTACAGAGCACTGGTCTTTAATTTTTTTCCTGTCTCAGGTACACAATTTTAACAGTCTAATATTTGGCCACGTTTTCCTCACTTCTTTCTGAGGATAAAGAATGAAATAATTAAATGGCCAAAAGAGGAATGGAGGAGAGGTACAGAATGAGGACTCTCAAGAGAAATTGGAAAAGAAAGATAATATGAATTTGTGGAATAATAAATTTGTCTGGTGTGATGGTTAATACTGAGTGTCAACTTGATTGGATTAAAGGATGCAAAGTATTGTTCCTGGGTGGGTCTGTGAGGGTGTTGTCAAAGGAGATTAACATTTGAGTCAGTAGACTGGGACAGGCCGACCCACCCTCAATCTGGGTGAGCACCATCTAATCAGCTGCCACCATAAAAGCAGGAATGGAAAGAACAGACAGCCTGAGTCTTCTGGCTTTCATTTTTCTCCCGTGCTGGTTGCTTCCTGCCCTCGAACATCAGACTCCAAGTTCTTCAGCTTTTGGACTCTTGGACTTACACCACTGGTTTGCCAGGGGCTTTCAGGCCTTTAGCCACTGACTCAAGACTGCACTGTTGGCTTCCCTACTTTTGAGGTTTTGGGACTCAGAGTGGCTTCCCTGCTCCTCAGCTTGCACATGGCCTATTGTGGGACTTCTCTTTGTGATCGTGTGAGTCAATACTCCTTAATAAACTCCCTTTCATGTATACATCTATCCTATTAGTCCCGTCCTTCTAGAGAACTAATACATCTGCCTTCCCTATCATCTTCTCCAAGTATCTTTGGAGTATGGACTCTGGAAGAGAGAGGCCTACTGTTTGGATAAGATGGTCAGGCATCAATCAGGGACTTGCCTGATCTGTACAGTCTGGGCAGTAGGGTGGTCACTGCATTCATCAAGTGGGCTTAATTAGTTCAGCTGCCTCCTGTTGATAATGCATAAACAATGTTTGCAACCTTAGAACATTAAAACCAATATGAGGGGTTAATTGGGAATAATGGTACCCATATTAAATAATTGATTCACCAATAAACTATATGTAATGCACACTTCACCTTCTTCACCAAGGATCTGAGGCACTCACCAGACACACTTGTAAAAAAGTAAACAAAAATTTTAAAGAGTGTGGTGATGGAAAATAGAATAGTAGGTTAGTAATCATGATGGTGGGGGTATTGGGTACTGGGCAAATTGAACACAAACATCCCATCCAGGAGGGCCTGCCCAGACACTAAAATACAATGAATTTGACTCAGAAACCAAATTTGTCATCAAAACCAGTGATAAGAGAACTAGGGTTAGAGTAAAACTTTGATTACATGAGAGAGGAAAAAAATTGTTTCTTCCAGGAAGCAATGCTATTCCTATTATTGCTTTTAAAAGGAATTTCTCAAGTAAATATTCATAACAAACAAAATAATAGATTTATAAACTGTTTCTTGTATTGTCAGTTGACAAAGGCCAGCTGAGTTTTCAAAAGGCTACTGGGTGAAAGCAGCTCTTCAGGGAGTCATCCATAACTAGATACAGTTTCCTAAACAGCTCACCCAAGCATACATACGAAAACAACAAACTAAAAAGAACACCTACTATAATTCTGGTACTTCTGATTCCTTCTCAATATGGTGTTGGTAAAATTGGCTAAGAGAAATGCTTCTGCCCTAGTTCTGATTCAGGTTTTCTTTTCTTTTTGTCCATGTTCTTTATAAACATTATGTATTATAGTTGAATAACTATAGAAAATTTGTTTCTAATTGCTCTCGTTGAGATTTTAAAGGATATTTATTTGCTGCATTTTATTTATTTTTAAGACAGGGTCTCACTCTGTCATCCAGGCTGGAGTGCAGTGGCACTACCTTGGCTCACTGCAGCCTTGACCTCCTCCTGGGTTCAGGTGATCCTCCCACCTCAGCCTCTTGGGTAGCTGGGACCACAGGTGTGTGCCACCACAACCAGCTGATGTTTTGTATTTTTTGCAGAAATGGGGTTTCACCATGTTGCTCAGGCTGGTCTTGAACTCCTGAGCTCAGGGGATCCTTCCACTTTGGCTTTGGCCTCTCAAAGTGTTGGAATTACAGGCATGAGCCACCGTGTCCAGTCTGCATTTCATTTTCTATGGCTATTTTCTCTCTTTGGATCATAGAACCTTAGTTTCTTTTTGAGATGGTAACTTGTAGAAGAATGGCAACATGATTTCAATAAGGTTAATAGACTCCCAATACTTTTATAGATGAGATGGAGGAATATAATTTGGGTGGCTGATTTGTAACTAATTGAATAACTCTATCCCAAGGATGTAGGCTGTCCTTCTGCATGGAGGACTTTGGCATGCTGTGAGGATCAGTTCATGTATAAGAAATGCAGAAGGAAGGGTAGTGGAGTAGATAGAGCTCAATTTTGGACATATATGTTGGAGGTTCATGTTGAAATGCACTTTATTAGTTGAATATATTGACTTGGGGACAGAGAGAAAGAGACAGAGAGAGAAGGGGTAAGAGGGAAGGGGGAGAGAAAGGGGAAGAGGAAGGTATCTAGTGATATAACAAACATTTATTAAATATAAACAATTATGTAACAAGTGATATCTAAGCACTTTACATGTTATAACTCATGAGACCCTGGCAACCATGTCAGGGTTATCTCATTACAATCTCCATTTCACAGATGAACTGAAATATGAGTGGCAAACTACTTTTCCCAAGCCCACACAGCTGGTAGGTGGTAAGAACTGAGATATGAACCCTGCTTGAAGTTAGAGATTTTTGGCCATTAAGTCATAGGCATGGCTGAGTTGCTCCGGTTGTCTGGATGAACTGAGGTACATCAATGTGTTGACTTTAGAGGTACAGAAAAAATAAAGGCCACATTTTTGGAGAATGTGTTCATAGCCTTCAGTCCCGAAACCTTAGAAAGTGTGATATAGAGTGGGTAATAAGAAGAACATGGCAGACACCTGGGAACAAAGTTTCAAGAAAGTGGGAATGAAGCTGACATCCAAGGACCAAAGCAAGCAGGAAGGTGCCAGAGACAACAGCAGAACCATTTCAAAGCAAGGATGGGTGAGAAAGCAGATGGCAGTGGATGGTTGTGCACCTGAAAACTTTCAATGCAGGGTAATCTAGAAGCTTGACCATGAAGCAGAGGGAGAAAGAGTTGTGGCTAGCTACTTAGGAGACCAAAATGAAGAGAAGGTTTTTAATCTTTCAGTGAGAGAGGCTTGAGTGTATTTTAAATATTGAGTGGCAAACAGAGAAAGAAAAGGTGAAGATGCAAAAACAGAGGGTAATACTTGGTGAAAGGTTGTGGAGGGTGCAGGAACAGATGGACTCCTAAGCCCAGGTGCCAAGAACATCTTGGATAGAACTGCATTCTGCTTTAGGATGGAGGAAGGAAGTAATGATGAATGTATGAGCATGGCTAAATGTATAGGTAGGACGCCTATGCTTCTGACAGCTAAAAGAGAAAAAAAAAGCAAAACAGAAATTAATGTATAGGTAGAGGAGAAAACTTTATGCTTTTCATCATGAGGAAACGGAGGTCCAGACAACCTAACGAATTGGTGTAGGGTCAGTCTCACAGCCCTTTCCTTTATAAATCACCCAGTCTTGGGTATTTCTTCATAGCAGCATGAGAATGGACTAATACAATAGCACAGTAGGGTGCTGGTTATTTCCTGTTAGGTTGGTGCAAAAGTGATTGTGGTTTTAGACCGTGAATTTTAAATAATTTATTACTAGGCTCAAACACATCTTTATTAATCAAAATAGAAACCATTACAATCAACACATTTTTTGCCAACAAGAAATAAGTTTGTTCATTCCTATAGCATAACAATCTGTGCGTTGGGGCCAGGCACGGTGGCTCACGCCTGCAATCCCAGCACTTTGGGAGGCTGAAGTGGGTGGATCACAAGGTCAAGAGATCAAGACCATCCTGTCCAACATGGTGAAACCTCATCTCTACTAAAAATACAAAAAATTAGCTGGGTGTGGTGGCATGTGTCTGTAGTCCTAGCTACTTGGGAGGCTGAGGCAGGAGAATTGCTTGAACCCGGAAGGTGGAGGTTGCAGTGGGCCAAGGTCGCACCACTGCACTCCAGCCTGACGACAGAGTGAGATTCCGTCACAGAACAAACAAACAAAACAACCTGTGCTTCGGGATTCAATGAACTCTTGGAAGGCATTTTCTGTATCCTGCTCCTTGTGGAAGCATTTTCACCACAAAAAGTTGTCAAGATGCTTGAAGTGGTAGTCGGTTGGTGAAGGGTCAGGTGAATATGGTGAATGAGGCAAAACTTCGTAGCCCAGTTCATTCGACTTTTGAAGCATTGGTTGTGTGATGTGCAGTTGAGCGTTGTTGTGGAGAAGAACTGGGCCGCTTCTGTTGACCAATGCCGACTGCAGGTGCTGCAGGTTTTTGTGCATCTCATCGATCTGCTGAACATACTTCTCAGATGTAATGGTTTCGCCAGGATTCAGAAAGCTGTAGTGGATCAGACCAGCAGCAGACCACCAAACAGTGACCATGACCTTTTTTGGTGCAAGTTTGGCTTTGCAAAGTGCTTTGGAGCTATTTCTCAGTCCAACCACTGAGCTGGTTGCCACCAGTTGTCTGTAAAATCCACTTTTCATTGCACGTCGCAATCTGATGAAGAAATGGTTCATTGTGCATAGAATAGGAGAAGATCACACTTCAAAATGATGATTTTTAAAAATTTTTGCTCAGGTCATGAGGCACCCACTTACCGAGCTTTTTCACCTTTCCAATTTGCTTCAAATGCCAAATGCCTGTAGAATGGTCGACGTTGAATTCTTTGCAAGTTGTAAGAGGTTCAGCTTGGATGATTGTTCTCAATTGGTCATTGTCAACTTCTGATGGCTGGCCATTATGCTTCTCATCTTCAAGGCTCCCATCTGCTTTGCAAAATGTTTTGAACCATGACTGCACTGCATGATTGTTAGCAGTTCCTGGGCCAAATGCATTGTTGATGTTGCGAGTTGTCTCTGTTGCTTTCTCGAATAAGAAAATTGCTCAAATTTGCTTTTTGTCTAATTATCATTTCCATAGTCTAAAATAAATAGAAAATAAACAGCAAGTAATAAGTCATTAGCAAAAAAAAACCCACAAAGTGTGAAATGTGCAATAAAATGATGTATAACATAACCACATTTAAGAATGTATTCCAATATCAAATGGCAAATTTAAATAATGCAAAAACTGCAATTACGTTTACACCAAACTAATACATGCTGTCTTCCTCCTCTTCCTCCATACTTTCATGTCTGAAAAGGCTGATTTATACAGCATTCCTCAGGTTCCCTTGCCAGCTGGCTTTTGATTGGAAGTCCTTGTTAAGAAAGAAGGAACGAGCCTTCTACTAGAGAACATAGCTGTGTTAGGATGCTCTCATATGGCTATAAATACCTGAGACTAGATAATTTATAAAGAAAGAGTTTTAACTGGCTCTTGGTTCTGTAAGTTGTATAATAAGCCTGATACTGGGCTCAGCTCCTGGGGAGGCCTCAGGAAGCTTACAATCATGGTGGAAGGTGAAGGGAGCAGCAGGCACATCACAAGGCCAGAGCAGGAGCAAGAGTTAGGGCACAAGGTGCCACACACGTTTAAATAACCAGATGTTGTGAGAATTCACTCACTGTTGCCAGGATAGTACCACAGGAATGATACTAAACTATTCATGAGATATCCGCCCTCATGATCTAATCACTTCCCACCAAGTCCAACCTCCAACATTAGGGATTACGTGTCAACAAGGGATTTGGGCAGGGACACACATCCAAACTACATCAATAGTCATAGTTCTATTAAATTGGAAGCTAAGACTCTTAGTTACTTGGGGCTTCTTTTGCCACTGTATGTACTGGCAGATTACTAAGGGGAAATTTTGTCTCTGCCCTCTTCTCCCCACTATTATCTATCTTCTGCTGTGTTTTACCCCAGAAGGCTGATCCCTGTGGGTTACATTACCCAATGGCTTCCACCAATAGAAGATCCAGGCAGGAGACAGAGAAGTGGGAGAGGCAGAGATCTGTCTTCCCTATTCACTGCTTGCCCAAAGTGGAAGCCCTTACAAGGCTTGGGTGACACTTTCTTCACCTTGGCCCTTTCTCCAGGTAGGTTCTGTGCAAAGCAGTCCCTGATACTGTGCCCTTAGCTTGGGAGTGTTCATGGGATGACCACTTGGGGTGGGCGAGTGAGAGGATCAGGATTGGGCAGAGTGGGCTAGGATGGCCCTGCAGTTAGTTGTCCCAATTTGGGGCATGTGAACTGGATCTTCATACCTCTGCATAGACCAGTCATTGCATGAGGCTGCCCCAGGGAAAGGGGACATGCTTTTGGGTGAGGAAGTTCCCGTTAGGCAAGGACAGGTCCCAGAGAGGAATCTGGTTGAGACCTATTGGCCCCCGCACTTCCAACTGCTAGTAGATGAGTGCTGCATCCCTGGGGTGGGGAATCGAGGTGATGCTCCCTTCCAACCCTTTGAACCAAGGAGTTGTAAAGGTTTCCTGCTCTTGCTAGTTCCTGAGTGCCTCAGCACCTCTGGCTTTTGTTTCTTCATTAAGTTCTCTTAATTGAATCTTCTGAGTTGATCTGTTTCTTTTCAGGGCCCTAATATAGATAATAATAAATTATATACATATATAAATAGAAACACTTAAATGTTCAAAAAGTTTAGTAGTCTAGAATACAGAGACTTGATCTGGCCTGGGAGGGGAGGGCAAGTTTGGTCAAGGAAGTGACATTTGAACCAAAATCTGAAAAGCTAACTTAACAAAGGAGAGAGAGAAGGGAGAATGGAGGAGGCATTGAATCCATATGGCCCGGATCACAAGGCGGGCGGGGGCAGTACAGGACGAGGGAGACAGGGAATCAGCTTGAGAGAAAGGTAGGGACAACACTCTCTGGGTTTTGTGGACCTCATTTTTGTTAATTCAAAAAGTAATGGAAAAGCGTTACGGATTTTTGAGCTGGGGGAGGGGGACACAGTCAGATAAGCATTTTAAGACGATCTCTCTAGCTAATCAAAGACCAGTGTTATTTTTAATTTGGTGAGAAATTACCACTTGCCTATGTCTGTTAGAAGCAGAAAAGTCTCTTTTTTGTTTACTAGTCTCCAGACTGGCTGGACTGAGGTTTCTACCACTGGGCTAATCCTGCATATAAATGGCTAATCCTGCATATAAACCACAGTATTTCATGGACAGAAGACTGTTACACGCTATACCCCATGGTGCCTGTTGCATCTTTTTCGCATCATGGCAATTTTTTTTCCCTAGCAGGTAAGATAATACAAAAAAATGTATTAATCATTAGACTTTCAATTCAGGAACAATTGTACTATATATCAAAAAGTTGGGAAAGAATATAGTTTATCTATACGTTCCACTTGTTTTTAGAGTCTTTAAAAAGCACGCAAATGTCCACGATTTTTGGTCTTGGAATTGATTTAATAGAATTTCCCTTTAGATATTAATGAAAAACAGAATGGAGAGAGTTCCTCATAATCACACACACACACATATACACGCGCGCGCGCGCGCGCACACACACACACACACACACACACACACACACACACACACAGCTTAGGTCCCCAGGGCTCCTTTCTGCTTTCTCAGATCCTGATGACTATTGAGCAGAGATGAACAGTCATGGGACAGGGCCCAACTGCTTAACTTAGGAAGTGACATTAAATTCTTCTTGGAAGAAGTTGGCACAATGTTTTTGTGCTGTTTTAGATGTTACTTAATGGGATGTTAGAAGGGAAGTTGTGACTGATGCATCAAGAAATGACAGCTACCAAAACCACTTACGAAATTTCAAAGTAAATAGCTGAGGACTGCTTAGATGCTCAGTCACACAGGCTACAAAAGACTCAAGTGACTGCAGATGGAGGAGGGCTTTTGAGAATTTATTTGGACAGGGCTGTGCTGAGAGTCCCACCCTCACCCCACAATGGGCGGGGGCACCGGCATCGAACACCAAGCTGAGTAAGAAGGGCTTCTCCAGGCCTCCCAGGGAGCTTGCTGGCTGCTCCTGGCCAACAGCAGACTGGGCCTGACTCCCATCGGAGGAAGGCCAGCATCCTAGGGCAGCCAGTGGAGGGTTGGCAGAGGGCCGTGCCTGGGAGGTCACTGTGCTATCTTCCAACCACACTGTGTGAGTCTCAGATACCATATGTGGAATCCGCAGCAGGAAGGTCAGCTTGAGGTCATTTTAAAAGGGATTCTTCTGAAAAAGTCTCACTGAAGGGTTGACAGGACCCTGATGCTGAGAGTCTGTGTGGAGGGGACAGAAGGAAAACCAAGGTTGGGGTAGAATAAGCAGCTAGACAAAATTGATTGCCAGTGTCAGGAAGCGTGGCCAAACATTCCCAGTGAGGGCTCACAACAGTGTTCACGGAAGAGTCACTTTCAAATACCCACCAAGCCCAGCGCGGGTGATGCCTTTCCACCAGAGGTCCAGTTCAGTACATGCCTTCCTGCGGCCTCCACCCCTCTTTCCCCTTACCATGGCTAGCAAGTGGGCCATGGGAGGGTGACATGGGGGAGGAACAAAGCTCCTTGTCCGCACTTCTGCCCACAGGAGGCCCCTGGTGGGGAAGGGGACAACATTTTAATTACTGAATTAAGAGCAAGGTTTTTCTCTTAAAGTAACAGGATTTTCTATTACCTGAGAGAATAAACAAGTTACGGGACTGCTTGAGTTTCATTCTGTGGAAGAGGAAGAACTATCCTCATGGAATAGATTATTAAAGGGATAGCAGAAGACTAAAAATTCAGTTGCTTTTATGGACACACCCATGAGTCCTGTTAATTCCATGTTTTGGTTATGTATAGAGTTTACATTCTGCTTCTGGAGTAGTGAAGTCATTTTATCAAAAAAAATTCTATTGATATTGCCCCAGGATGACAAATTTACAAAAACATGCTTGCCCTCTTTTTATTAGTTTATGTGGCTAAATCATAATTCTTTTCAAACCAATGGGAAAGTCTTAAGGAAATAGAAGATGGAATAAACTAAAGAACAATGCTGGGCTGAGTGCTATGGCTCACGCCTGTAATCCCAGCACTTTGGGAAGCTGAGGCCGGTGGATCACCTGAGGTCAGGAGTTCAAGATGAGCCTGGCCAACATGGTGAAACTCCATCTCTATTAAAAATACAAAATTAGGTGGGTGTGGTGGCAGGCACCTGTAATCCCAGCTACATGGGAGGCTGAGGCAGGAGAATCGCTTGAACTCAGGAGGTTGAAGTGAGCCGAGATCTCCCCATTGTACTCCAGCCTGGGTGACAGAGCGAGACTATGTGTCGCAAAACAAAAAACAAAAAACCCACAATAGACTGTTAAAGCAATTAGGAAGTAAATGTTACACCTAAGGGACTTGTATCTAGAATATTCAAGGAACTATTACATCTTGATAAGAAATGGACAAAAATTTGATTTAATAATGGCCAAGAATCTGAACAGACATTTCTACAATGTTATCTTTTTTCAAAGAAGATAAACAGGTAGCTGATAAAATCATGAAAAGATGCTCATTATCACTAGCTATCAGGAAAATGCAAATCAAATCCACAATGAGATATTATACCCACTAGAATGGCTGTAATAAAAAAGACATTAAAATTAGTGTTACTGAGGATGTGAAGAAACTGGAACCCTCATACATTGCTGGTTGGGAGGTAAAATGGTGCAGTCACTTCAGAAAACAGATTGGCACAATGACTCATCAATTCCACTCCTCGGTATGTATCCAAGAGAAATGAAAACACACATCCACACAAAAACTTGTACACACATGTTCACAGTAGCATTAATCATAATAGCCAAAAAGTAGACACCCAAATGTCCATTAACTGATGAATGGATAAACAAAATGTGGCATATCCAAACAATGGGATATTATGCAGCCTTTAAAAAAGAATCAAAACTGATCCATGCTACTCCACGGATAAACTCTGAAAACATTACACTAAGTGAAAGAAGTCAGTCACAAACAATCACACATTGTATGATTTCATTGATATGAAACCTCTAGAATGGGCAAATCCATAGACACATGAATGGTTGCAATCGGCTAGTGATGGTTTAGGAGGGAGGGAACTGAGTACTAAAGAGAATTGTTTTTTTGAGACCAGTGTGATTAAAATGTTCTAAAAGTGATCATGGTGATGTTTGCACAACATTGTAAATATACTAAAAAGCACTGAGTCATACACTTTAAATAGGCAAATTATATTGTATATAATTTTTTTTTTTTTTCCAGACAGAGTCTGGCTCTGTTGCCCAGGCTGGAGTGCACAATCTCAGCTCACTGCAACCTCCGCCTTCTGGGTTCAAGTGATTCTCCTGCCTCAGCCTCCAGAGTAGCTGGGATTACAGGTCCCCACCACCACGCCTGGCTAATTTTTGTATTTTTAGTGGAGACTAGGTTTCACCATGTTTGAGACTAGGCCAGGCTGGTCTCAAACTCCTGACGTCAGGCGATCCGTCCTCCTCAGCCTCCCAACGTGCTGGGATTACAGGCATAAACCACCGTGCCCGGCCATATTATATATAATTTAAAAATGTAATGCATGGTCCACTACATGGGAGTCTCATGATGACAGGGACAGAGCCAGCTTTGCACATTACCTTATCTCTAGCGAGTGTCCAACACACAGGCACTCAACTAGTATTTCTTAAGGAAGCAGCACGCTTTTATACTGTTCCTGATGTTTATGCAGTGTTTCATAAATTGCAAAGCATGTGCATGTTTTTTTTCACAGACAGCAGCAGTTCCTTTGAGCCTCATAACAATCCCGAAGGTGGTCCGAGTAGGTGATATGAAACTGTTACTGGCCCACATTGTAAAAAATGAGGCGCTATACAACAGGATAAAGACCAAAACAACACCACCACAACCCGTATCTGTCTACTAAGTTTTATCTGGAGGAGCTCTTTCCCAGGCCCATTTGTCTCCCACTAATCCTGTGCCCCAGTGAGGGAACGCGCTTCTCATTACAATCAGCGCTGCTCTGGGAGCCTGACTCCCAAAATGCCATGAAACAGAGGAGCAAGCAGGGTCAACTGGAAAGCAGAAACCAAAGAACCCAGATTCCTTTTCTGAGCAAACACAGAGATGGGCTAGTGGGATTTTAGCTTGGGGATACTGGACCCAGTCTTCTCAAATACTTCCTACCAGAAGGTTTGTGTTAGGGGGTGTCCCATGACCACGATCTCAATAGCTTGTAGCTTACCTATCTTCCAGGCTCCGAATTCAGGGTTCTAGGTTCTAGTTCTCCACCCCTAACTCACATGCTTGGTGGAGACACCCAGATTAGTCACATTTCAGATTGGACCTTTCCAGTTGTAGTAGCAGGCAGTCACAGGGGGAGTCACCTTGCTGAAAAAAACTCACTGGATGCCCCCTGAAAAGAGGTCTAGAGAAGTTGTTCCGATTCGGACGCTGATTCCTAGTCGGTTACAGAACCCCTGGCCACAGGACATTTAAAGACGTTCTCTTTGAGGTCCACCCGGGCGGCCCAGAAGCGTTGGCCACCTTCCAGAAGGGAAGTGGGAGATACCGGGGGACCCCGAGGGGCCCGGGGCGTTCCCCGCGGGGCGGAGCGCTCCAGACTGCGGAGCGCTGTGGGCAGGGGCGCAGGTGAGCAGCGCAAGCAGAGTTGGCCGCGGCCGTCCCGGCGCCTCCGCCTCCGCGGCGCCCGCACTGCGCTCCACCCCGGCCCGGGGGGCGGGCGAGGGCTCTGCCCCACCGCCCGGGGGCTGCCAAGGGGAGTTGGGGCGGCGACGTGGGCGTCTGGGGACTGTGCGCCCGCGCCCGCCCCGGCAGGGTGCGCTGAGGCGCCGGGGCCGCCACTGGCTGCGGGCGCTGGGCGCGGCGGCCGCGGGAGCCGCAGGTGGTTCCCGGGCCGGCCCTTTTCTCCTCCCCCTTTCCTTTCTTTCGCCTCCCCTCCCTCTCGCCCGGTGTCGGCGGCACTTCCCTCGCTTCCTCCTCCCTCTCCAATCCAGAGGGAGGGAAGGAGCAGCCGGCGCTTTCCTGCCCGCCTGCAAACTTCAGCGGGACTCGCGGCTCCCCTCGCCGCCGCGGCCGCCGCCGCCCGGCGCTGCCCCTGGAACTTCCTCTAGCCGCGCGGCCCGGGAAGCCCTGCGGGTGGAGGAACGCCGCCGGGCGCCAGGCAGCCGCGGCTCGGACCCAAACCCCGTCCCGCGCCGCCCGGGTGCCCGCCCGCCCGCGCGCCCGTCCGTCCGTCCGTCCGTCCTTCCTGCTCGCCCGGCCTCTCCCTTGCGGGCAGGGGCCGCCAGGCTTCCCTCGGCGCCCCGCCGCTGCCTGGGACTTCCTTTGTGTTGGATGCAGGCTCGCGCCCCGCGCCGACGGGGGGCGGACTGAAGGATCCCGCGCCGCCGGCCCGCCCCCGCCATGCCCTTCCACCAGAGGACCCTGGAGCCCGCGCGGCTGCGCCGGCCCGAGGCGGCGGGGGCCGGGGCTGCGGGCGCGCCTCTCTTCCGCTCGCTGGAACAGGTCAGCTCGCATACCCTGGGCTGCCTGCTGGCGCAGCTGGCCGACCTGTCGCGCTGCGCCGGGGACATCTTCGGCGAGCTCCAAGGCCAGGCGGCCGCGCTGGGCCACCGCACCGCCGCGCTGCACCGCCGCCTCGACGCCCTGCACGCCGCCGCTGTGCGCCTGGACCACCGCCGAGTGAAAATCCGTGAGTGGCCGGCGGGCCGGGGGAGGGGAACCGGTCGGGAGGCACCCGGAGAGCTGCTCCTGCCCGCCCCCTGGCGGCCCGGGGTCGGCGCGGGGGCCGCGGAGCCCGGCGATGTCGGGGTCGCGAGTGGGGACCGCCGGACCCCAGCGGGAGGCTGGGCAGGTGGCAGGGGCGCAGAGCGCTCTGTGACACGGACTCCTGGAGAGTCTTGGCTACCTCGAGGGAGTGGGCGCGGAGGGTGGGAATTGGGCTGGCCCAGTCCCCCTGTCCGCTACTTCTGTCTGTGTCTGTCTCTGTCTGTCTGTGTGGGAGGCTGAGGAGACCGACGCTGTAGACAGAGGAGGAGCCAAGGCCGTGGGAAAAGGGTCACAGGCAGGTAGCCTGTTGGAAAAGCTAGGGGAGAATATACATTTGGACTTATAGTAGTCACAGTTTTGGAGACTTCAGGACGATCCGTTTGTAAAACCCTGGGGATGTCGGCGAGCGTTGGGGCTGCTTGCCCCCTCTCTTCCCGCCGCCTACCTGTGTTCTTACCTACAAGCAGAACTATGCAGACTTTAAGGGTTTTCCCATTTGGCGCTGAATTTTCTTTCTTCTCCCAGACCCATCGGCTGTTTGTGATTCAGAAGACCTTGACCTTGAGTTCAGGCTCTGAATCCCATTCATCTTTGTCTGGCTTCCTCCAACCCTGAAAGTCAAGTCTATGTCCTGACATAGTGATCTCTCCGATCATCCATTTCATTTCAGCAGCTTAACTGGCTCCGGTGAATGAAGCAACTGGAATTTCCTGCTGGACCAAAGCAGAGAAACTTTCAGTGTGATGTTTCTGTGGTTTCTCCCTTTTAAGTACGTGAACTTGGTCATAATCCTAAGTGTAAAGAATAAATTGGAGATGGTTGATGGGTTGCTGGGTGGGAGGGGAGGTGTTGGTGTAACACACACCTAGATTTCAGCAGCTCTGGATGAAATAGCTTTTTCTCCTAGAATCACTTCATATGCAATCTCGAATAGCTCGTTTTCCAGCTAGCTAGAAAAACTTAGCTATATTTTAACTACCTTACAACCTAAGAGTTCAAAATTTTCGATTACTTAATTTCAGTGAGATTGCTTGCTATAATACATCTTTCTCCAAGTTGTATAATTATCATGTGGCAGTTTTACATTTTTGTGTTCATCTCTTTGATTGTGCTGTCAACACATTCATATGAATTGTGGACAGTTCCCAACCTGGGAGAGCCTCCCCCTCCAAGAAAAAAAAAAATCTATGGGGAGGAATAAAAATGATCTCATAAAGTTGTTGACATAATCAGAATATATCTACATAATGTGAGTAATGACTGCATGCATATGGTACGATATACTGTCCTAGTAGGATGTCATAGTCTACACGGCAATCAGGAGTTGCTTCTAGCGTTTTCTGTGTAGGGTGTAGGTGCGTGGGAGAACCAGAATTTCACCCTTGACAAGGAATGTGATAAGGGAGATCTGATTGATAGGTGAACTGATCTATTGTGGGAATTAAAAAACAAGAGGAAACTCCCTGAAGGTCAAGAACTCCTTCCTTTACTAGTTTGGTTTTATACTTAAATGTATCACTTTTCTCTATTCTTTAGTACATATGCCCCAATAGGCTATTGTCCATAGCCAGAAATCCCCCAAATTCTCCATATTAACTAAGGTTGTTCTAATTACAGTGACTGAAATAACTCTTTTCAAAACTTTTCACAAGTTTGTTTGAATCTTAAATGGTTGTGATTTCGTATCTGTGGTCCAGATTGGAGTACAGTGGTGCCATCTCAGCTCTGGGCACCCTCCGCCTCCTGGGTTCAAGTGATTCTCCTGCCTCAGCCTCTAGAGTACCTGGGATTACAGGCACCTGCCACCACGCCCGGGTAATTTTTGTATTTTTGGTAGAGATGGGGTTTCTCCATGTTTGTCAGGCTGGTCTTTAACTCTTAACCTCAGGTGATCCACCTGCCTCGACTTCCCAAAGTGCTGGGATTACAGTCGTGAGCTACCATGCCCGGCCCCATTTTTTGTTTGTTTGTTTGGTTTTTTTTAAGTAATCATGCAAGAAGGCTTTTTATTGAATATAATTATGCCTGAGTATAAATGTACATGTAGAGAAGAAAGCTGACTATAAAGGCATTAATTTTTGTGGTTTCTTTCACCTTCACACACTTTGCTTTTTTATATGCTATAAAGCAGTGAAATGCATTACCATCTGTTAGAATTCTTTTAAAACAATGCCTCAAACCTTGTTCCTGTGTAAAAACTACAGTTTGAAGTCGTTTGGTACCATTTTAGGCAGGTCTCCAGAATAACATACTCCATTAGTATGGATGGCTAGACTTTTAGACTTGGAATTGACCATAAAGGCCATCCATTTCGTGAACTCTTACCCAGAGAGGAAATCCAGTCCAAGAGCATTGCAGTTAATTCACCCCAGGTTAGGCTGTGGGTTAATGACACATCCGGGCCTGAAGCCCAAACCTTCTGATTGTCTCGCCTGTAGTCCCACTGCCTGTGTTCCTTCCCTTTAGAAGAGTGTGGGGCCAGGCACAGTGGCTCATGCCTGTAATCCCAGCACTTTGGGAGACCGAGGTAGGTGGATCACTTGAGGCTAGGAGTTCAAGATCAGCCTGGCCAACATGGTGAAACCCTGTCTCTACTAAAAATACAAAAATTAGCGAGACTGTCCCAAAAAAAAAGTGTGGAAATGGGGAGCAAAATTTAAATACATTCCTCAAACAGTCCTAAGGATAACTGTGACCGTTAATTCCACCCTTCTTGTCAGATAAACCTTTTAATGAGTCTCCCTAGGAGCAATTAACAGAATCCAGCAGTTTACCAGAAGCCTTTAGCAGTTGGGGACAGCGTATTTCAGTGACCAATAATAGCTCTCTACCATAAGAAAGGATGTGAGAATGTCAGTGGAACAATTTAAAAAGAGGTATAGACACTCTTTGTGATACAGAGACAGTATTTTAGTCCTGTGGGCTGGCCCTGCTGGCCTCAATGGTCCTCAGAAGTATTTCATCAAGTTTGCCATTCCTCAAAATCTCATGGGTAGAAAGTTATCCAAAATAATTTTTTGTCATGCCTTGGGGAGAATGCATGTTATCATTCTGTTCATTGAAGATTCCTACTTTCTTTCCCAGACCCCCAGGTTGAGGGAATGTTCCTATGGCATTGGTTCACCTCGATCATATTTACCAAGGGGACTTCTGCACTGGTCTGCCAGACAGCAGGACCTTTGAGGTCCAGGATGGCCGAGTCTTTGTTTTGCTAGAGCTTAGAACAATGCCTGAATGTAATAACTCAATAGATGTTTGAATTGAATTAATACTTAGTGACTTAGTGCTTACTGTCAGGAAGAATAACTATAAAAACCTGAGGAAGGAGGAGGATCTTTTGAGGCAGGTGGATCTGTTGAGGCCAGGAGCTCAAGACTAGCCTGGCCAATACGTCGAAACCCCGTCCCTACTAAAAATACAATACTGCTACCAGTGTAAGTGATCGAGACAACTACTTTACAAAAATAAAAATGTAAACTATTTCTGCCTTTAACCTTTAATGCTTAACCACCAATCTCTGCTCCTGTCTGTAAAAGTTGGACTTCATTAATTTTGCTGACACAGTAAGTTCTCATGGAAAATAGTGACGATAGCCAGCAATGTGAGTAGTTACTTCTTGGCTCTGTAAACATCAAAATAGACTTTGCTAAGCAGAAATCAATAGATACTCCATCTAATAGTCCTGTTTTTTAATTTTAATTTTTATTTTTTTGAGACGGAGCCTTACTCTGTCGCCTGGGATGGAGTGCAGTGGCGTGATCTCAGCTTGCTGCAACTTCTGCCTCCCGGGTTCAAGCAATTCCCTGCCTCAGCCTCCCGAGTAGCTGGGATTACAGATGCCCACCACCACGCCCTGCTAATTTTTGTATGTTTAGTAGAGACAGGGTTTCACCATCTTGACCAGGCTGGTCTTGAACTCCTGACCTCATGATCCACCCGCCTCGGACTCCCAAAGTGCTGAGATTACAGGTGTGAGCTACTGCACCTGGCCCCTGTTTTTATTTTTAAGCTCTGTGTGATGGGGTTTTCTTTCTCTTTAAAAATAGTTTTGTTGAAATAAAATTTACACACCATACAATTCACCCACTTAAAGCATACTATTTGGCTGGGTGGGGTGGCTCACACCTGTAATTCCAGTACTTTGGGAGGCCAAGGTGGGCCAATCACTTGAGGCCAGGAGTTCGAGACCAGCCTGGCCACTATGGCGAAACACTGTCTCTACTAAAAATACAAAAATTAGCTGGGTACAGGGGCACATGCCTGTAATCTCAGCTACTTGGGAGGCTGAGGCATGAGAATCACTTGAACCCAGGAGGTGGATATTATAGTGAGCCGAGGTGGCACCACTGCACCCCAGCCTGGGAGACAGAGCAAGACTCTGTGTCAAAAAAAAAAAAAAAAGTGTACAATTTAGGGGTTTTTAGTATATTTACAGAGTTGTGCAACCATGACCACAATTTTAGAACATTTTTGTCACCCGAAAAGAAACCCCATACTCAGGAGTAGTCATTCCCCATTTCCTGTCAACCCTCCCATTCATAGGCCACTGCTGATCTGCTTTCTGCCTGTATCGATTTGACTTTTGACTTTTCTGGACATTTCATACAGATGGAATCATGTGCCTGGCTTTTTTTACTTAGCACAGTGAACTTTTTGAAGTTCATAATTTCTTTCTTTTTATAATTAAGACTTTTATGATTGAAAAAGTATCATTCATATTTATTACTTAATTAAAAACCTTGTGAGATAGGAGGGAAGGCCAGGTTATATTATACACATTTATTACTTTTTAATTGATACATAATAATCGTACATATTTATCACTGTACATTTGCAAATACACTGTACATTTGCATAAACAGGCCTGAGAATTTGGCAGACGCAGTAGGCTCATACTTCTGAGGAGTAATTTTAGGTGTTGAGATGCATTCTCATACCTCGCAACAGACTGTCCCCTCACCTAACCAGAGGGTTGGCTGGTCCTGATGTCAGCATATCTTTGCTTCTTCCTCAGAATACAAGGCACTTGTCAGAGTTCTAAAGTCAGAGACTTCACTGCACTTCTTTTTTTTTTTTTTTTTTTTGTTTTAATTAGAAAAGAGACGAGGTTTCCATACATTGCGCAGGCTGGTCTGGAACTCCTGGGCTCAAGCAATCCTCCCTCCTTGGCCTCCCAAAAGAACTGGGATCGCTGG